ATATTAGTTTATTGGCGGCTTACGTCTACTGCTAGTCGAGTTCACCGTCCAAATGCCGCACTGCTGCGGAAGTCCATACCGGCGTATGGGCGGGGGCTTTACCTGCGTAAAGGTGGAACCTGCGTTCCTGGTTCGTCTGCTTCACCGGGCGAGAGTAGTTCCTGTGAACTATGGTCAACCGAACATCGCACCGCCCAGTCGTACTGGGAACTTATCGGCGTGAGGCCCAAGTGGATGCCACAACGACTATTTATTCTTTCCACTTGTCTCAACCGGTATCTTTCGATACCACCATCTATGGTTGTGTCATCTTAAGGATACTACACGCTGAAACATACAGAATAGCAGGAAGTTCAAATGCCATCTACACAGTGCACATGTACATATACACCTAAGAACTTACTTCCAATTCTCCTGACTCTGAACCATGGTGATGCGCATTTGGGGCAGCTTTCCATAGAAGGTGATGCTGTTGCCTTGCCATACACATGGCCGGTGCACTGAGCATTACTGCACACATGGTACTCATACTCATCCCAGCATTTGGCCCCCATCAGCCGGATTAGCATGTAGAGGAAATCGGAGCACACATGGTTGGGTGGATATGTTGAGGAGTATAGATGCATGTTCGACTCAAGCGTCTCATGACATGGACTATGCTCCTTGATGTGGCCCAGCAGTGCGTTTACAGTTTGGTGAAGGGTCCATAGGCAGGTGTCAACGGGCAGGTGGGGTACTACTGGGTCAAAGATTGCCCATAGCGGCTTGTCGAGATGGGCCCTGAAGTGCTCATATGTGTGTGGACGGAAGTCAGGCAGGTCACACCCACATACACAGGTTTGGATCTGGACTTCATCATCCTCATCACTGCCAGGTTAGCCAGGAGCAGTTCCTTCCATAGGGCCATTTTGAGCAGGTCCTGCTCCGCCTCCCAGGCAGCATATTGGGCCGTGAAGTGCACAATGTCCACCGGGCTGTCCTCATCATCTGGTCTCCTAAAACCACTGCCATCCTCTCCTGTATGTGCAGAAGGCAGCAAAAAGCAATGAGCTCATGAAGCCCACAGCATGTTGGTAGGCCCTCCAACATGTGTGACCCCAACTGTGTGACCCAGGGGTAACACAGAAAGTGCCAGGACAGGCAAGTTGTGTGACAGGACATTCAGGAGTACAAGCAGACCATACATAAAGCTATGGATGGGGCTGGTGCATGTGCGGGTCAACAGCCTGTATGTGCAGCACGCAATGGGCAACATGACCCCGTCATCACCTTCACTGCTGTAGCAGCTGACCGCTGAAAAGGTCTCTCGAGTTGCTGGTGGTCGCGCTCTACGCATATTTATAGCGCCGTACTGTGTACCAGCTGCTACAACTGCCGTGGACTGGCTGCCCTGGACATCCCAGTTGCAATCATGGTAGGTTTTTGTCACCGAGGTCCCCAGCAGCCTCATCATGCACAGGTTCGTCTGCATGGTCGGCAAAAACAGCAGATGGCCCAGGCTGGTCAGCAAGGCCAGGAGCTCATCTGTGGAGTCCAAGTTTTGTGCTGGGTTGCCAAGGTCGTCGTTAGGGGGGTCCGCCATCTGGGCCTCCCCAAATGCATATGCTGCATGGGTGGCAAGTATGGTACACAACCGTACAGGTAAGTTATCCACATCCGATGTGTGCAGTCGCAAGTAATTAGTCCCACGACGTTAACTCCTTACCAAGTTACAAGTAACTTAGGGTTTCTCGATTCTCCTTACCAGTGCCAGCTGATAATGACTTGCCTGTTTCACGTTTGTGTGGTCCAGATGATGTCAGCCTTGACACTCGCCAGCAGTGTGCATGACACCTTGAACTGCTGCTGCAAATCATATACGAAACGATGTTAAGATCACAAATGCTCTTGAATAAGGGCGACACAAGCTTGTGACGCACGTGGATACGTACTGGGTACGTAGCTGGGTTGCACATCTACACACCACGCCTCTGAAGAGTGAAGCCTGGAATCTCGGAAGAGGCCATGTTGGGACCTCCGAGATGATCATTAAGGTGCCCTAAGGACCTGCTTGCAGTTCCCGCCTCTGCCAATGGCGTTTGTTTGCAAGAGGTTCGATGTACCAAACTGAGAGATGCTCATATATGCCCGCAGTCGTTTCGCTAGGTATCATGTGCAATACATCTGATACTGATCTTTGACGGCGGATTACAAGCTCTAGTGAGCTCGCGCGGTTAAGATGAACACGGTGGCTCACAAGCCGCCTCGATCTGACAAAGAAGGCATATGATGATTCTGAGCAGAATCAAAGAGCCCGTATTGCAAGTAAGCAGGGTTCATAAATACTGGTCCTATTACTGCCGATGATGTATTGGGTCTGCACGACTCGGCCACAACCTATTTAAAGCCTCGATCTCGCAAAGCAGCAAAGAAGACCCTTGGTAATCTTAAATAGGCCGTTTAGCAAGTTAGCCGAGTTCGTTGGTTCTGGTCCTTTTATTGCCGGTAAAGTATTCGGTCTGCACAAGGCCTAAGCGGATGAAATCCTGGTTTTTCGTTTGCGCTCTTCACGAGACACTTCATTGAGGCTGCTGCTATGGGCGCCATTGTTGTCGTACATTTCGGGATTTCCATCCGGAAATGTACGACAACTTCAAGCAAAATGCACTCTGCACGTGCGCAAACTTGTTGCTGATAATTGCAAAAATATGCATCTGTAGATTGCGTTTTACTATGCTGTCATGTTAAAGTAATGAAGTGGTATTGGGAACCTGTAGGTCGGCGGGTCGATTCCGCTGTTCAGCAATCTTTTGAATGCCCAAGGAGTTCATCACTATTCCCGGCCGCCAATATGCCCTGCCGCCACCATCTCCGGCCGCCTCATTCCCTGGCCGCCCCCCTGCGGCCTCCCCCCGACACCTCCTCCCCTGACGCCTCCTCCCCTGACGCCTCTTCCGCGGCTGCCTCCTCCCCTTCCTGCCACTATCCCCTGCCGCCTCAATCCCCGACCCTACCGCTTCCTCACCCGAAGAGAAGAGTGCCCCTAGCCGATGGACGGTGATGACCTGGGTCAGAGTAGACCTGCGACCTGACCAGGAGTAGAGTCGGACCGCCGTTGATCTGGCAGATTCCGTTGGATGCCGGTGGTGGGTGCTAAACCTGAGCGATCTACTGAGAAATCGGCTAGGGTGACGAGGGTGCCCCGAAATACCGGGGAAGGCAGGGTTTTGCCAGTTAGCGGCCACGGGTGAAGATATGGCCCCCCTGTCCCACACATCATATATATCGCAGTAGCTGGCCGCTGAAAAGGCCCTCTCAGTAAGAGATGCTGGCGGAACGCCTCAGGGCGAATTTGCAGACAATATGCGTGCCGTACTATCTACAGGTACTGCGGACTGTAGCACCGACATAGAATATATAGGGAACGAAAAAGAATCAGAGCCATTTACACATTTTATCAACAGTCATCGTTTGGTTTGGTGGACGTCCTAGCTAGGTCCTTCGCTCGCGTCGCGTGCATGCGGGCGGTGGCCTGTTGCACGCGGCATAAATACATGCATCTATCGCATTACAAAATCGCGTGAAGTACTGCTCAAACATGCTTCTTGCGAACTCGAAGCTCCTCACCGACCATCATCCCGGGCTCGACACTTTCGACGGATTCGCCGCTTTCACCGCTGCTGCTGCTTCTGGTTAGACAGCTCATCACCAGGAGGGCGGCCACAGCCGCTGTCCACCGAATAGCAGCCATGGGTAGGACTAATAACGAAGACGCTGAAATTATGTAATAAAAATAAAATCTTTCAGGTTATGCTATCTTGTCGATTTTCGCGTCGATGAAACGCACATAGGACAAGTCGGGTGTCGGCTTCCTCGAAGCCGGAAAAAGGGCGGGGGCCCCCTGCATCCGTACAGGCCGCGGCCGGTAGCTAGCGCGGCATGTGTGACAATTGATGGGTAGTGTCAACGCGGTGGGAGATGTGCTTTGTTGCAGCAATGCTGATGGTGTGGGAGCTAAGCTTGCACCGGCGGAATCGTCAGCACCGCCTGCGGGCTCCACGCGAATCGCATCCATCCCGGGTGCATGCCATATGGACAGTGCGGCAGACCGCAAGTCGGAATGCCCGTGCGGGCAAAATGGTAACGCAAGCTGGGTGTTCAATTGTCATACGCTGTCATCTCAGAATTCCATTATGAGATACACGGCACCTTTTGAGATGAAATTTAGTCCGAGAGGCGTTGACGTGACTTTGAGCTCGGTCAATTGAGGCAGCCAAAGTTGTTTGTCTCATACGATCTTTGTTGGCAACCGGCGAGATACCTTGCAGTAGGGAATGCTATATAGTACCGATAACGCGTTTCAGCCGGGTGAAATATTATGTTTGGTCCGTTACACACTCAAGGCCTGGGAGTTCGAGTTATCATACGCCGTCATCTAAGAATTCAAATATGAGATACGCGGTACCTCTTGAGATTAAATTTAGCCCGAGAGGCGTTGATGTGACTTTGGCCTCGGTCAATTGAGGCAGCGAAAGTTGTTTGTGCTCATACGATTTTTGCTGGCTACAGGCGAGATACCTTGCGATAGAGAATGCTATATATTACCTATAACGCGTTTCAGCCGGGCGAGATATTATGTTTAGTCCGTTACACACGCACACACGCACACACGCACACACGGACACACGGACATGGGCAATCCTACAGGTCGGGGCTCCTCTGGGCGCTTCGCGCTGGGGCCCCGCCCAAAAAATGTGCCTTGAAGTCGAACAGCACGCAACGAGGGGTTACACATACAATAAAATTAAAAAGACGGAGCCATATACATGTCGTATCCCCTCTGTACCGCTATTTCAAATGGAGCGTTTATTTGCATATGAAGCGTTTATTTGCATTCCGAACAGCAACAGGCAGGGAAGCAAAGATTATTTATATAGCTACTACTGCTGCCAACCACCGGAGTGCCGCGGCACTCCGCCTCTATGGCAGGTACCCACCGTTCATCAGCACCCTTGTTGCTAATAAAGTTACTTCCTTGTGTTCAGGCAGAGTAAAAATGAAGAAGGGAAACAGAATGCACGGAAAAGGCCTTTTTCGTGTCCTAGGACAAGATTTTTTAATTGCTTGAATAATAATTGGTTGCCGTTTAGAGGGAATCGGTTAATATTACATTACTCATTGTTACGATATTTATATTTAGAAAGCTTGCTAGATACTAAAGGATGGTTTCCATACAGCGTGCATGAACGGCGGGCTGTTACGCACGCAGCTAACTAATTGCAAGTCGGTAAAATGTTTTAGCGTCTATAGACAGGACCATAAATAGGACCAAGAAATAGATCGGCGGTGTATCCAGCGCAGATCGCTTTCGCACGTATTTGCTGCATCGTACTTTTGTATATACGACAGCTCTTTCATTCTTCTCCCTCTGAAAGGATCGATGCGTCTCGGGTCCTCCAGCCCGCGGCTATCTTCTCTGTCTGTGAAACCACTTATTTTCAGGTCTGTCTACACATAATGCCATGACACCATCCTATACTTTGTGAGTTCGGGTTTGCCTTTATCACACCCCATCCGTCATGTTGTTCGGAGCGTCCTCTTGTGTGGGGTTTCACACGAAGCTATGTTTCATGTTTCGATATCGTTACATTCTTCGCCTCGTCAGTACCTACTGGGTGCCTTGGGGTTGCGCATGTCCCTCTTTCCAGCCGCGGTAGCAGTAGCAGTAGCAGTAGCAGTAGCAGTAGCAGTAGCAGTAGCAGTAGCAGTAGCAGTAGCAGTAGCAGTAGCAGTAGCAGTAGCAGTAGCAGTAGCAGTAGCAGTAGCAGTAGCAGTAGCAGTAGCAGTAGCAGTAGAAGTAGCAGTAGCAGTAGAAGTAGTGTTACAGCGATACTCCAGGGTGGGGTCATCGGGCAACAATGTACCGCCGTGCACTGTGCTGGGAACCGTGAGACTAGATAGAACGCACAACTTGAACAGCAATACAGCTCACCCAGAAGCCTGCGCGACCCTGCATGGGATGCCCCAGCACGCAGCCCACCATTAAAGATGGGAGTAGCCTGTAGGCCCCTGGCCCCAAGGAGCAGCAGCAGAAGGCAGACAACTCTCAGCAACAGAGCAACAGCCGCTACCATGACTGTGTGTGTGTGGTTGTTACCATGACTGGGCCAGTTTTTGCGCCGTGCGGTGTCAATAATGATCCTTTGCCTTCATTTTCATCAGTTGGAGTCTTTACTTGTTGTAATTCCTTTGTTGACGTCCCTGGCGTACATACATGTCCTCCCTCTTCTGCTCCTTGAGCTTCCGGGTTCAAATCCGCCTGCCGACCCCTCGGTATGTGAGGGGTGTTGAATTGGGAAATGGCCCCCCATCTTGTGGACGGTGTAGGACGTAGTTATATCAACTTGCGAGCTGTCCGGGTCCAGGAACTAAGTTGAGGCGGCGTTGATACGCTAGATTTGGTTGAATGCTGGTGGTGAGTTGCTGAACCCAACGAATGCATCCTGAAATCGGATGGGGTAAATGGATTAGGGTGCTGCTCTCGCAGGGGAGAGCAGGGAACTGCCTCGGGAAAGGGGGCCGCTGGTGAAGCTATACCACCCTGTAACGACATACATACACATCAGCGGGCTTCAGCCGGTCCAACCTAAAGCAAATCATCAGCAGTCTCTGATACCTTAGCGAACATACCGCAGCGGTTGCCCCGGCACACGCTTTTGCATTGCTATATAGGTATACAACAGTAGTTCTCAGAAGTTATGAAACGACAGTTCAGTTTCAGGGCGCCGTACAGCAGGGTCCTAAGGGGTCTTACCCCTTTACGTATGGTAAAGATCGCCAGATAACAGCTGCTGAAGCTTGACTAGGGTGCTTCTTAGTCATTGGTATTTTTTTGTACCTCGAACCAACAAAAGCATCTGGGAACCCGTGCACTCGGCTGATCGCTTCATCTTAGACAGCGCACGCACCCGTTGACCACGGTAACCGCATCAGGCAACTGCACCTGAGCTGCTCAGCTGCATCAGAG